GGGGGGTGGGGGCAAGAGGCGGGGCCGAGCTGAGAGCTGCAAATAGCGAAGGAATGGCGTAGAGACAGTGGGAGGGACCCGTATGGTTATGTAGCAATGAGATAGTTTGAGTGACGTTGTGACAATTCTTTATTTGACGTCAAACGGTCGGGGCTACATCTGAGTGCTGGGCCTGTCAGTATAAAATAAAACTTCGGCCCGGAAAACTTGCACCTGCGTTGACTCTTTGGCCCGCAGGGTTCTCCAGGTTATGCAGGTACGAGCGCATATTTTTATTTAGCTTAAGGCACGGTCAGCTTTGCAGGACAGACCTATGAAGTAATTTAAGTGTGAACAATCAAATCAGCACACACGAAACAACATTACTCTGTATGGCACCACAGAGACATAAATTCGGCCCCACAGAGCCTGGAAACCGTAGATGTATAATACAACATTGTATAATTACCACGGATATTTCTGTACGCTTCAAAGGAAGATATCTTTGTTGTCTGTCTGACTCAGTCTGTGGCTATACTGGGTGGAACAAGAGCGTGCTGCGATAGGACTGGTTTTCTATTGATGAACCATTTGCTAATCTTGCTTTTTCAAAATCTTTTCCAGGGCGTATATTTTCATTTCTGTCACGACACAGTGGAAGCAGGCGCTCCTCAATTTTGGGACATGTGAAATTATTGATAGTAACTCTAAGCCTGTTCATTTGCCTCGTGTTTGTTGAAAGCAATACCCGTCAATCTTGAACAGAATTCGAGCTATTTGCAATTGAAGGAAATTGAGGTCGCCTGGTAGCGGAGAGTAAAACTAGCGAGGAAATGGCCAGCAAACTGTAGTGACTTCCAAAGCATGAGTGCCCTTGGGAACTGCAAATTAACAATTTTTAAAATGCATTTAATCAACATTTTTCATCAAAATCCTCATCAAAATATGTTTTTAAAAAAATATGGACATAAAAGGTCCTAACGCCAATTTTTTAATTTCATTCTTTGACGAGCGCCTGATTTCGCCACGATGCCATACATTTATTAGTCAAAGTTCGTGGCGCAACCTATCCTCAAATATCTCTTTGACTGATGAAGCAATGTTACCCATACTTTGCACTGCAGTTTGTATCAGTTTGTCTTTACTTGATCATATATCCCCCCACAAAAATTGAGTCTAGTTAAAAAAAAACAACAACAACCCCTTCTTCTTAAATGTAATTAAAATGTTATAAATCTCCGTCACGAGGAAAACGGGATTGTTCACAACACTGTCCACTTCTCACAACTCCCTTACATTTTGCAACGCATATGGCCTACGTCATAGCTCACGAATGACACTTTTGGTGGCAAAGTTTGTTACAAGAAATAAGTTTTATAGTCAAGACTTTCAAAAGCGATATTGCCCCAATTGTAAACTTGTTAAAATCGGTAGAAACTACCCATTTGGATTTGAAAAATTAGTATTTATTAAAGAATTTTCTTGAATACAGCTAACAGGAGTTTAAAAAATATTGACAAACTAAAAAGCTGGAGAATGTATTATGTTCGATAGTTTAGGATATATTTGACAATAAATTGCGCCTCGAATTTTGACTGCACTACAGTTAATTTTCCTTATGTTTTACGCGCCGTAATTTTTGTCATTTAGGTATCGGACTGTTTCGGTCAGGGCAAATGAATTTGGCTTATGTTCGATCCCAGCGGAAAATGGAGACACATTCAAACCTTCCTTAACCGCTACCTGTCCCAGAAAATCACTTGTACAAACGATCACTTCCCACTGCTCCTCTTGCGTTTTTCTATATATAATGATGGTATTCTCCAAGAGCACCACCTGTTAATGATAACAAAAGGTGGTCGTCTTGGATATGTTCATCTGTTATTAATCTACCCTTTCTGGTAACTTGCTTTACTATGACTGGGTGCATCACCAAAGGAAACGAACTTTTGCTTTTCGCATATATTTTCAAATAACCCAAGAGCAGAGTTACCTCAGTTCGTGTTCGGGTGGGCTCCGATGCCATTGACCAAAGTTGAATCTCTTATACCGAGTGCACCAACCGATCGCCCGATTCTTTTTTAGTTTTAGTAAGCGTTTTACAACACTTGCTACTCAATAAGGTCATATAAGTGCCAAAGAATAGATTAAGTGTTCCAAGAGAGTAACAAACACAAAAAAGAAGGAGGAGAGAAGAACGATAGCTGTTTGATAGGAAAGAAGGAGCAAACCACACCAGAGCACCCGCCAACCACCCACGTCGTCCGATTCGCGGCCTGAAAACAAACGCGTTTGTTTTTGAGGCTGCGAGTCGGGCGATCGGTTAGTCCTACGATGGTCGCTTTAAACCCTCCATCTAGCCCTGCACGAAACTGAACCGAACAGACCGAACCGATCGAGCCAAAGGGCATCCCCTATTATGGGGCATTCTTGTGCTTCGGTTGTTGGGATAGTGTGATTCTCCACCAATTATTAGCTCGTTTCTGTCACAGAAGTACTTCTTCTTCTTCTTCTTCTTCTTCTTCTTCTTCTTCTTCTTCTTCTTCTTCTTCTTCTTCTTCTTCTTCTTCTTCTTCTTCTTCTTCTTCTCTC